TTTATATTTAATTTAATGTTTACTTATTGAAAAAACATGAAAATTATACATGTGTTTTTTTAAAATATAAACAATAATATATTAAAATTTTAAATAAAGTTATTATGTATATTTTTATATAATAATAAATTTAAGATATGCAATACTTTTGTCCATATAGTGTATATATAATTTTTTTGAAGGAGCAGAAGGCCATTACATTTTATTTTATTATTATAATTTTAGATTTGCAAGTATAAGATTTATAATATATTTACAATATAATATATATTTCTCTTTGCTAGAAAGAGTTAAATGCAAGGCTCTATAAATACGATTCATTTTCTATATTCCTTAGTATCAGAAAAAAAAATTTCAAAACCTATATTATATCTTGAATAGAATCTAGCTACCTAGAGAAGAATTATTATCTAATTATATGAAGGCACTACAGCTACTATATACAGGTTTGCATTCAAGTCATAATTAGGATTGACATGATTGCTTTTCAAATATGGCTTAATATATAATAAGAACTTTATAAATTATATTGTAAGAGATAAAATAAAATAACCAATAATAAAATATTTGTTTAACATTAGCAAGTGTTATGATAATAGAACTATAGATATGTAATTAACATGACGAAAGTGAGCAACGATGATAGAAGATCGTACGTACCTCACAACGAATGACGATACTATGCCAACACATGATCAATCAATGTTGAATGACATGAGATCTGATCCTGTTATGACTGAACAATGTAATGACTGTGAGCAATGCCAATGACATTGTGAAATTGCTCATCATCATGTAATAGTGCTTAAAATCATCATTTTGTAATTAGTATAGTTAGCTTAATCTATTTTATGCGATGATGAGAAAATATATAAATAAGTAAGAAAATATTGTTAATAAAGATGTGCATGTACAAGAAGTAAGAAAGACTCGGCTGAATCATATGCTTCAAATCACCAAATTTCTATCTAAAAGAGACACAAGCAATGGTTACATAAACCTCTGTTGGCACTAGCAACAGACTCGCCATTTGCCTGTCACAATATATAAAGTACATTTAGAGAATTAATTTAATATATAAGTTTTTAAAAATTTATTGCACTATTAGAATATAAAGGGTGTATTTAATATTATTGATACAACTTAAGACTATAAAAAAGAGTGCATTTAGATAAAGGGTGTATTTAGGAAATGTTTTTTGTTTTTTTTTTTCCAGTAAGTAAATATTATTTCTTTATTAATAGTATTATATTGTAAAGTTATATATATGATAAAAGAAACAAAATCTCTTGTGTATAAAAAAGCAACAAGTTAAATGCTAACTTGTCTATATATCTATATTTAGTTAATATTGAAAAGAAAATTTAAAACAATATTATATATACTAAATATAGCTAAATAATAGCTATACCTACTTATTCAGAGTTTTTTGATTAGATATAAAGAAATTTGAAAGTAAAGAAAAATTGAAAGAAAAAAAAATAAACTGGAGCTACAATAACATGAGATACTAAAACTATAACTAAGTGCTTAAATTATAAAGTGAAAATAACATAATTATGTTATTTCCACTTAGTCTAGGTTATGTATGTGACCTATATCATAATTCTGACCACATTTAAAGGTGATCGATCTCATAATTTTAGTCACATTTGAAAGAGGTTGATCTCATAATTTTGATCATATTAGTGTGTGGTTAATCTAATAATTTTGGTCACATTCGAAAGTAGTTGATCTCATAATTTTGGCTTTATTGTAAGTTTAACGATCCGATTGTGCATTATTTATAGAGGCAATTAGCCAGAATATATGCTATCTAATTTGTTATATACATGTCTGCTATCGGATTTTGCTATCGGATTATACCATCCAAGTCTATAAATAAATTCTGATCTTTGATTTTTTTATATAGAAAGGTGGAGAAAAAATATCTGTGGTCCTTTATTCCTTTGTTATAATTAACGATTTGGGGTAGATAAACATTTAACAAATCTCTTTAGTTTCACTAAAGACTCCGCTAATAAATTTTATCCACAATAAATAAAAAGATTCATACACTCAAAATAATATCTAATTTCTAACGATTATGGTTTGTTTATTCGTTTATATGCTATAACAACTCCCTCACATTCGTATATATATGCTAATAGACCAATTTTCACTTATAGATGATATTGCTTATTGTTTCGAGGATCGCTCCATTCTTGGACTTTGCCGACCTATTGATGTTCATAAAGAAAATCTCTATTTACTTGTCGGTGCCACGTTTTATTTTTCACACATTACCAAGCAAGACATCAACCTCAAGCATAATTCCAACCCTTCTGCATGTGATACCATTAATGAAATTCTTGCAAACCAAGATGCCCGACTCACCACCGAGCTTGCCAATCATGATACCAGACTTGATGAAATTGAACGTATCCTTCAAACCTATCATAATAGAGTTGCAACAGAACTCGAATCAATTAATGGATCAATCTTAACGATCCAAAACAAAATTAATCGACATTATGCCGTTGTTCAGGTACAAAGTGCCTTTTCTCCCGAAATAAGAATCGAATCTATCGAAGACACATCCGTCCAACAAAAAGATGAAAATCAATCCAAAGCTTCTTCTGGATCGAGCCAACGATATAACTTCAGAAATATGGAATCAATTTAAGATTATTTTTGATAGAATTATGGCAGAAAAAGCATAATATTTAGATGATATTCTTAATATTGGGGTCGGAAAACTTAAGAGATATAATCAAAAATTATTATCATAGAATTAATGATTTAAATAAAATAGGTGCTTGGATCGATAGTAAAACAAATAATAGTGAGTAGTGGGAAAGGAACTACCATAATATGGATTAGGGCTCGGCAAATTCCTCCCTTGAAACATCCTGCTACTCCATTTATTAGCTTAGCTGACTGAACTTTTTACATTGATAATCTATTTACAAAAATCATACATGTGTATGCGATTCGCATACATTATTTAGCAGACATATTTTTTTATTCATAACAAGAACACTGTAAGCAATACTTCGGCCGGAAATTCTGATCAACTGAATTCAACAAAAATTTCATGCTATTTTTTTCACCCATCTGTTTCATCCATCAAATTTTCTCGTCTTTGTCTAAAAATAAAAATTCCTACGTTAGAATGCATTTACTACCAACTTATTGTGTAAAGATACGAACCTAAGACTATCCACTAGCTCCTTAATGACCGGTCCAAAAATATGCTCCATATTACAATCATCAACAATAATCACAAGATCTCCATATTCATTGAACCGAAATAATTCTGGTCTTTTACTACATCTATGAGGAAGTTCCACAGAAACATAAATATGTTTTCGATTCTCAGTTGAGGTTTTGATTTTCTCATGATTCTCTGCACGCTCAGAGACATTAGATATCCGATATTTCTTGATGTTTTTAGTATAGTCCAAATCATAATCTACATCATCAAAGTTTAAATCTTGTCCATAATCTTCCTCTTCTAAGTCACCCTCATCCTCTTCTGAGTCATTCTCTTTGGCCGTGGTATCATCGGGAATTACATCAAGACCTGTTTGGAGACGTGTTCTTTTTTTACAAGGAGAAAATTCCACAATTTCAGAGTTTTTTCTCCTTCTCGGGCATTCCATATACTGAAATTTCATACATGACTTGATTAACTGTTTTTTAATCTTGTCTCGCTTAATAGGACTTCCAGAAACTGTACAGCTTGCTGATAACAGTACTATATTTTGCTTATCATCCACAAGAGAAATCACCAAGTCCGATCCTGAATAGGTGTCTGGTTGGATTGCGTAATAACTATAAGTTTCATCTTCAACATATTTGGCTATAGGAACTGCTTTTGATAGATTTGAAATTGTTACAAATTTCATCGTGAATGTGATCCATGAAGAAAGGTCAAATTGTTGACCATTTTTCCACCTGTTAAGTTCCTCTCGTGCATTAATCCCACGTTTTTGAATGATTACTGTAATAAAGATTGCATCAAATTCATTACCAATTGATAGAATGCCATCAAGCCTGATAATTTTATCAATAAAGATCTCTACCAAAGTTTTTCTTCTTGTGTTTTTAAGAAAAAGTTCTATGCTGGAGACAAGGTAAGATTCAAGTGATGTGTTGATTTCGATTATATCAGGAGTAAGTTTACTAGGTCCAAGAGTGATGCATTCTGGTGACTTGCAAGGAATGATGCTGTGTTGAAGAAGCTTTATGGCTGATTCGTACTTTCGATTGTAAAAAACACGAAGCCTAAGAACATCTATAATTGCTCTATCTGGATTGAGGTTATTAGCATCCAAATATTTACACGCATTTTCCAAATAATCTGCCATATCCTCGCAAATCATTTTATACCACTTCTCAAGAAGTTTAATAATTTCTTGGTTTTTTTGGTCTTTTGTTCTATTAACTGAAATCCACTCTAATATCAAAAGCCTAACAAATGATACACAGTTTCGAGGCCGTCCCTTGAGAAGACATCCCAATAAGTTAAGAATTTTGAGGGAAACATCTGTCAGGTCAATTACAGCATTGAGACTCTGCAGGATATCATTATATAAAAGGAAAGGAAGCTTTAGCACAATATAATTCTTTAAATCTCGTTTTTTTCCAACACTAGTAACAAAAGAAATTCCGCTTGACATATGCATGTAAGTACCGGCAAGAAGGCAGGTAACGGGAAGATTGGTAAGATGTTCAATGTAAGCCTGCAAGAGATTCCATTTGTTATTTGGAACTGAGCTTCCTTTGTATTCTCCATATTCAGATCTACATAGGACTTGCGCCTCATCAAATATTAAGGTTAAAGACTCTACGTTGAGACAATCATTGATACTTTCAATAAGTGCATTAACATTAAAAGTATCATAATTTTCACGAGCCAATTTCGTTCGGATCTTAGAATCATTTGTTCGAAGCTGTGAAAACAGCTATTCTTTTGGCATCAAAGTATTTTTCTCAATGAGCGTCTTTATAAGTAAAAGTCTGCGTGAGAGTATTACCCCATCCAGCATGCGAAATACATGACGTTGCTGATCATGCCGTTCAAATTTTGGTTGTTCATCTTTGATTGTTTCAAGCTCTTTCCCTACATGGTTGCCATACGTTCCTGTGCCGGGAGAAAATTCAATATATATTGACCAACGTTGCATAGCTATTCCAAACATTGTCGATGTTTTTCCACCACCTGAAACTCCGGCAAGCACAACTATGTCTCCAATATTATTTTTGATCTTTTCTTTTACAAAAGAAACTGCTTCTTTGAATTGCTGATCATCATAAAAAGGATTATAATAGTTCACTGTTCCAGATTCATAAGAAGGAAGACACAGATCAACTGTTTTGAGAGTTTTTTAGGTTATACCTCGGGGTAATCGTGCTTTGAAAAAGGAGGGTTCCACCTTCAGTTTAACATACGGATCATTTTGTAGGCTCGGAGAATCACATTTTCCTGTCTCAATGTTCCAGATCAAGGCGAGTACATAAACAAGCTGGTCAATTGAAAATTTATCTACGTTTGGAAAGACCTTTATAACTAAAAACCAAGAGTGGACGTGAGCGAAAAATTATTTGAAGGAACTAAATTTCTAGTGCAACGAACCTTTGTTTTTAATTTCAATTTTAACTTCGTCAGAAGGAATGTATATTGACGAAACTAATGCAGTGAAATAAAAAGAAATAAACACTTGAGACCCGCCTGACATTGTCGATTGCAGACTTAAGCTATAAAAAGATATCGAGTGATAAAGACACTTACCAGTGGTGGTAGGCAGTGGTGGTTGGATGATTATACAGATGTTACTAGTGGTTTCGTGAAAATAGTCTCCAACAGTTTTGAATGGAGATAACATTATACCTTGGTATTGTTCATTGATATTTTCGGCATATATTTTGGTTTCCAGATCTTCATCTTCGACAGGAATATCCACACTCCATAGCTTCAGTTCATCTGCGATTATATGGTTTAAACCGGGCTCCTTCTTCTTTTTAATGATTTCCTTGAGATGCCCAATAGTCGTGCCTTCTTTAACATTAACTGGGAAAGAATTATTAATGGCATTACCTAAAATGATGCAAAAAATCTGAAAATTCATTAAAAATTACTTATAAAATTATACAATTTGTAGAATTTTAAATACCATGATTTCTCCAGTATTAGATAACATTATATATATAAGTTATAAAGTCCCAAAAATGATTAGAGTGTTTAAGATAAAAGAAAATGTTTCAGTCCACGGCACGTAATCTGATGTATTTATAATTTCTGTGATTAGTGATGTTGGTAAAATACATAAGGCTTGGGCTGTACGTTTATGTAATCCGACTTACCGAAAAAGCTATGTATAAGGAGACTAATAGAAATATCGAATTTATATGCATTTCGCAAGCAGAAAAAATAAAAAGCATTCTTATCATATTACAGTCTGAAGGAAAATACAACATACTAAAAATTCTGCAATTCAAGCTATTTTGCATTCATAGTCAAATGATATACAGTAGTAATAATATCACGCATTTTTTTTTTGGTGCTTATCACTTCTGTCAACAGGGTGACCGTGGATCAAACCCTCTGTAGGGTATAAACCTTACTTTTATAAATGAAAAATTGTTGACATAACAGATGCCATATGGATTTGAATGAACATTTCGGTGGGTTTTGAGAACCTTGACCTCTTGTTCGAATTTTATTGCTGGTCCCTTTTCTTGTCACACCACAATCTGGATGAAGTCATTTATGATTCAATTTACCCACGCTTCTTTCTTTTTTTCCACTAATGCGATTTGAGCAGGAATTCTAACGGCTTTGATTACCTAGATTGTATACCCAATTTTTTTCACATACTGATTTGTTAAAAATTTTTCTTCCCTCACAATATAGTAGTTTAGTCAATAACATTTCGTAAAAAAATACTATATAAGTCACTATGTTTATCACTTAACTCAATATATCCGTACATGCGTTCGCTGTTGATATTGATAGTAACAAGTTAGTTAGTCACCTCAAGAATGCAATAAAGGCAAAAAAGGCATCAGAGTTTGATGGTTTTTCTGCAGGCAATTTCAAGTTATGGAAGGTGAAAATTTCTGATCAGGATTATCTCTTAAGCAATCTCACACTCAGTGATGAGGACAAATTCCTTGTGACAAAAAAGATCTCGAAATGTTTTCTAGTCTTACCTTCTGAGAGGCATATTCATATCATAGTCAAGCCACTTGTATCAACCATTGCTTTGAGCCATGGATAGGAATTGTTTGATCGCATCGCATCATTGGAGAAATCACTTAACAAGTTTGTCTATGGTACATATTTGTATAGGCAGTATATGCCTGTGAAGCAAAAAATTTCTTGACAAAAGTGATCGACAAATTTGGAATCAAAAGTCTCACTTTGGAAAAATTTGGATTCTTTACTAACCCAGCTGTTATGTTATGTTATAGAATTGAATAAATTATTATAGGCAATTCATGGAGAAATGCATCTTCGATTTCTATATACAGGGGGGGACAAAAGTATTGCAACATTTTTTCAGAAAACTAAATTAGTGTTATTTAAGATTCAATTATATATATATATAATAAAAAATAATTTTTAAAAAACTCTCTCCTGATCGCGTCCGTTTTGTTAAAAATTTTTCTTTTATGGTAATTTTAAGCAAGAAAAAATGTT